TGGTCTTCAAGGGAGAGAGAGTAGTGATTCCAGAAGCACTGCAGGCAGATATAACCCAGCGAATTCACTCAACACACATCGGCACAGAAGGGTGCCTCAGGAGAGCTAGAGACTGCGTCTACTGGCACAGTATGAACGACCACATCAAAAAGTACATCGCTACATGTGACATATGTCGGTCTGTGGATGCAAAACAACAGAAAGAGACACTAAAACCACACGAGCCGACCACCAGACCATGGACCAAAGTGGGGACAGATTTATTCAACTTTGAGGGTAGGGACTACCTAATAACTGTTGATTATTACTCCAACTTTTGGGAGATAGATTATCTACCTGATACCAAGTCGAGTACTGTGATTAGGAAACTAAAGGCTCATTTCGCACGTCAGGGAATCCCAAATATTGTTTTTTCTGACAACGGGCCCCAGTACAGCTCAACAGAGTTTGCCAACTTCAGCCGGAAATGGGAATTTCGACACCATACCTCATCACCTGGCTATCCGCAGAGCAACGGCAAAGCTGAGTCTGCCGTTAAAACTGCCAAACGACTCATGAAAAAGGCGAAATTGGCTGGACAGGATCCATATTTGGCCTTATTGGACCACAGAAACACCCCAACACAAGGTTTAACTACCAGCCCTGCACAGAGACTGTTAAGCAGGAGGACGAGGACACTTCTCCCAATAGGAGACAGATTGTTGCAACCCACAGTGACTGACAACAAGTTAGCACTGATGAAAAACAGAGAGAGACAAACAAAGTACTACAACAAGACAGCGAAGGACATGGACACATTAAACCCAGGGGACTTGGTGCGAGTTCAACCTTTTGAACCACACAACTTATGGACCAAGGCTAGAGTGTGTAACACTCTGGGAAACAGATCCTATGATGTGGAGTTGGACAACGGCAGAGTCCTCAGAAGGAATCGTCGCCATCTGAGGCGAGCTACGGAGGTCAAAAAAGACATGTCAGCACATCTCCAGCCTGAGGGGCAGAACATTACTGTGCCGACAAAGAGCAAAGAGAACACACAAAACAGCACTACCAGGTCAGGACGGGTAGTACAACAACCTGGATATTTGAAGGACTATGTATGCAATTAAGGGGTAATCTGTGAGTTATACGCTGTAATTTGTTTACTTGTCAGAGGAAAGACAAAAGAAAAAAAAAAAAGATCTGTGACGACATTTGAGTTATATGTTGTGATTTGTTTACTGGTTAGAGAACAGAGCAGAACATCTGTGATAATATTTTGAGTTATGGCTTTGTGATCTGTTTACTTGTTTGGAAGGAAAAAAAAATAAAAATAAGGAAATGAGAAACAAAACAGAAAAAAATGAATAAAAGTAATACTAAAGGAAAATAGAAAGAAAGCTAAAAAAGTAAGTGGAAGAAAGAATTTTTATTTTTGAAGAAAATTGTGTCTAACAAAGAAATGTCATGTCTAAGTTTTGTTCCAGTTGCAAATTGAGTTCTCAACTTATGAATAGTTCATTGTCTTTGTAAAAGAAAAGGGATGTAGCAATGGGAATTGCATTTACCTGTGTGTTCCACCCGGAGTCTTGAGAGTGTAACACCGGAAGGTGAGAAGGGGAGACTCATGACAGTTTATTAAGAGTTGAATAAAAGTTTACCTCGGAGGAGGGAAAGTTCAACTGAGCATCTTGTGAAGTTTATAGAGAGAACAAGATGAAACAATCGTGGATGTTTTCACACTTTTCCACGCTGTCAGAATCCACTGGTGGTGTTGAGCATAACTTGCTTTTCGCAAGTTTATCGCCGCTGGTCATCCACGACTCCCGCTGAACGCGTAGCGCTACTTTGAAGTTTGTTTTTCGCGCTACTTGTACGGCACTATGTTGCCTGGCGGATGGACATGTGACCAACATACCACTCTTGAACCCCGATCCTTCCGCCAGGCAACGTAGTGCCGTACAACAGCAGAACAAACAAAACAAATCGTCTTACGATATCACAAAAATCATGGACAATCCATAGAAAAGCCGCACCTGACTAAAAGCCGCAGGGTTCAAAGCTTGTGCAAAAAGTAGCGGCTTATAGCCCGACAATTACGGTATATATATTCAGAGACCACTTTATTAGTACTGGGTTGGACCCTTCAGAACTGCTTTAATTCCTTATTGTATAGCTTCAACAAGGTAGTGGAAGCAGTCCTCAGAGATTTTGGCCTGTGTGTATATAGGTGATAGCATCACACAGTTGCTGCAGATTCATCGGTTGCACATCCATGATATGAATCTCCTGTTCCAACAAAATCTCAAAGATGATCTTTTGGATTGAGATGCAGTATTATCCTGCTGGAAGCAACCATCAGAAGGTGGGCACACTGTGATTATAAAGAGATGGACATGTTCAGCACAATACTCAGGTAGGGTCTGATGCCCAAACAATGTTCAGCTGGTTCCAAGGGTGCCAAAGTGTGCCAAGAAAATGTGATCCGCACCATTACGCTTGTATCAGCCTGAACCGTTGATACAAGACAGGATGGATTCATGCTTTCATGTTGTTTATGCCAAAATTCTCACTTTTCCATTTGAATGTTGAGATTCATCAGACCAGACAACATTTTTTCAATCCTCTAATATCCAGTTTTGGGCTGTGTGAATTGTAGTCTCAATCTCCAGCTGCTGTAGCCCATCTGCTTCAAAGTTTGACATGCTGTACATTCAGAGGTCCTCTGCCTTGGTTGTAATGAGTAGTTATTTGAGTCAGTGTTGCTTTCTTACCATGTCTACCTGCCTAAATACAAGTTGCTGCCTTGAGATTGGCTGATTAGATTTGCATTATTGAGCCAGTGTAGCTAATTAAGTGTCTGGTGAATGTTTACGTCTAAATTTTTGACATTGTTAGAACTGCAAATTTATGTCATCTGCTCTTTCTGTTGATATAAGTTATTATCATTACAATGGAGGGACAAGAAACCACCTTTTATACCTTCCAGTATAACTCTGTTGAACAAATCCAGGTGGTGTGTGTTTTGCTTGTATATTGTGGTGCTTAAACTAACTACTCAACTTTGTGGCCTTGTTGGATGTGCTGTTTGGCTCATAAAGCTGGTTGTAGGTTTACAAAGGAGCGCTTCAAGCTGCTGACTGCCCACCCTGCGGTGGGGCAGGTAGAAGAAAATCCTTGCTTAAGATTATGTGGTGGAAATGTAATCGTGATAATTATTATCAAGGTACTTCGTCTTCAAGTAAAATATATTTTTAGTATTTTCTACGAGCAAACAAAAGACTTCCAAGTCATCATGAGGGTCTGAGAAACACTAAGTCTGAATGAAATACCGGACATGTTCTACCTCGGCTTCTACCTTTGTGTAACCTACAGAGGACACTAAAATGAAAGGATAACCCCCAAATGTGTTGGAGTGCAAAAGGGTCAAAGTAACACAAATCACTGAACAGTAAACAGCACTCAAAGGGGGAAAAAAGGACAAACACACATGCATCCTTGTCCTATTTTTTTGTTGTAAGGAAATGATGAGAGGTTGTGTACAGTGTGCACAAACGAAAATAAAACATTAAAATTGTCTTTACAGGCAATTTTCTTGTAGAATTCTTTGTTTTATCTTCCTGGTGCTGAAGTTAATCAAATCTAAATTGACATTGGGTGAATCAGCACCGAAGTGAACACCAATAAAATCTTAAAATAAGACGGCAAAATAAATTACAAGTTACATGGCAAAAATGTTCCACGCAATGTTTCAAAGAGTGTCTCTTCAAGAGAAAGGGCTCCATTGTCCCACTCCATTGAAATGGACTGCCAAAGCACAGTTTAATCTACACAGATACTTCGATTTTACAGTAAGGCTGAGTTTTTCTGTATAAGTCTTGCACAGAAATGTATAGTTTCTTTGTCATGCAGATAAATATTTGTAAATTTGTGAAGTACATAAGTATTTTTTTCAATGGTTTAGGTTATGAACGTTCTAGATATGTGTTTTGTGCAGAAAAAGCTGCATGAAACATATTTTAAAATGATTTGCAATGTACACAAAAAAAAGATGAACTGAATGTTGGAAAATCTGAGCAAACATTAAAGAATCCTGCACAGAATGAGATGGCGCTGGTCGTTGACAGTCACGCCGAATGCATTTCACACCTTACATTACAAATGTACGAGTAAGAAAGTAACAGTTTTCCTGATGACACACTTGTGGGGTTTTTTTTATGTTTTTTTTTTTATTTCTTTTTATTAAAAGAAACAGCTTTTCAAGACATCTGATATTTAAATGTGTTACAGTCGTTTAAATCTATCAGGTCACATTTCAAAGGGTCTCATTCAGAATCTTTTGGCAGAGGAAAATCCACAACCTGCTGCGTAACATTCCTGTGTCAGGATGCTGTTTGTTCAGCCATCTGAACTCAGCAGAGGCAGCATAGGTTCTGCAGCCCCTCAAAGACTTTACCACAAAAGCCCCCCCACCCCTACTTGGACCACCTACAGCCATAGACCAATTAAAATCACCACCCGCCATTTCCTGACCCAAATGGTTTGGCACACACACGTGCCCCTCATTCGTAGCCACATACTCAAAGTGATGATGATAGTAACAACTGGAGAGAATAGAAGCGATCAATAAATAATGGATGCTAATTGGTCCAGCTCATTTATTATTAATATTCTCAATTACCACTAAAGGGCCCACCTGACTTGTCTCTGTGCACGCGTTTCTGTGTATAGGTCACAGAAGATGTGCGTAAACATGAGCAAACTGGTGTTTGTAACTGGTCTTCTATCGTACTGGGTGCATGTCCCACAGACACATATGGCAGATGCTATATATTGTTTATAGAAGATGGTGTATGCTATAGGATAAACTATATTACAGCCTCAAAAACTGGCCCGTTGCTCAAAGACTCACCCCCTCCTCACTGTTTTTTAAACAAAAGCACGAGAATTACAGCCGAATCTGTTTTCTAACAAGGCTGTCCTGCTTTCCTGTTTTTTCCTTTCTCCACTCGTTCCTGCAGATCACCACTCTGATCAACCACAAAGACAAGCCAAAGAAGTCAGAGCGCACCCTGGCAGCTATACACAGGGTGGGCCAGGCGGTGAGTGTAGCAGTGGGGCGTTTTGTAGCAGTCGGGGAGGCCATCGCCGCAGAGAACCAGGAGCTGAAGGATGAGATGGGTCAAGCCTGCTTCGAAGCTCGCAGAGCAGGTGAGCATCTTTGGTTGGGCCTCGTTCTTACTTGACATTTTTACTGAACTGCTGCACATAAACGTAGCACATAGTGGAGTGTTTGTTTTCTAGCTTTCACTCCTTTTTATGTGTTTGATGTATAAAGTAAGTGTTGTTGGGTTGTTTTTTTTTATCGTAAAGGCTTCTTCGTGATGGATCCTTTATTTTCCTGTAGTAAACTTGGTCATTTCTTTATGATGCTCTGTTTTTTCCACTGAGGGTGTATTGACCTGGTTATCCAATAAGCTGCAGGCTTCTCATCAGTGTTTTGTTAAGACAACCAACGGCAGTTTCATAAAGCATCGAGCATCACATTCAGGCTTCAGTCTTATCAAATTTTATCAAATTTCGATTAGTCTGAACAGCCTGGCTGTCAAACAGTATTACACCAGAGGACCTCCAGAGTGCTCTAAACACATTGCCGTTATTAGGTTGGAAGTAAAATATGAAAAAGTGCTGCTGCACCCAAGGGTGCTGTGTAGAGTGAGGGAATTAATGTGTGTATGTGGGCTTGGGAAGCACTGCATAATGGATTCTGATAGAAGGAAATAGGAGACTTTATGCAGCAGGCTGTTGGTGAGATTAAAAGGGTTGTAGTTCCCCTAATATTCAGCACCTCAAACAGAAATTGATAGTTTCTTTGTTATGCAGATACATATTTATAACCTGTTTGAAGAACCAATCATATTTTCCCATCGATTTATATTAATTGACCTTTTCTGTGTTGATTTCTCTCCACGGCTGCATCTCTAAAGAGAGATTCTCTACTAACATCTCTACATTTGTAAAGATCTAAGTGTTCTGTAAATATTCTTCCCAAAAGCTATATCGATGTGGATAATCCTGGTGTCCTTGGAAGTTTAATTATTATGGATGAAACATTCTATGTAATGTGTCTTATGTTAAGGCACAGACATACAAACATACACTACAATCATTATATTAAGATTAGTGGTATTAGTAGTAGTAGCAATACTACAGATTATATAATATTGGATACCCTAATGGGATTTTTCTGATAAAGTTATTATGCTGAACATTTCAGGGTTTCAGCCCAAGTTCTAAAACATGCTCATGAGGTCCTGGAGTTGAGTTGAGCATTTAATAGTTGCCCTCTCTCCCGGGATGCAGTGCAAACCATTTCTTCATAACCCTGAGCAGATCGGAGCAGATTTGTTTGGATGTTTTCGGCAAATTTCATATGCATGCTATTTAAACCTGCTTTAACCTCCATCTCATTATTGAGATGGAGGTTGGAGACTATAGCACATGGTCAATATTTTGTTACCGCCCCAGCTTGTAATCTCTTTGCCATTTAAAGTATTGGCTTTGAAAAGAGGATCGAAGTTTGCGACCACTCGCAGCCAGGCGCAGCTAGTCTGTTATCAGTCTGGTATTAGTTTGGGTTGTGTTACATGCAGTCGGTTTTCTATAATACAGCAGTTTACGGTGATAAATCAGCACAAACTGTAAGTCTGGTAGCATCTTTTGAAAATCTGTTGCTGTCTACATACACAGAAATTCACATTAATTACTTACATTCAGAGTCCAGTTTGATTCTCATACATCTGAAACAGAAATTCCTCCAGAAATTGTGACATAGTTGCTGACTTACGCAATCTGCAACTATTGTTTTATGTAGGAATATACCAAGAAAAAGTTGATTTGAGTCTCCTGTAGTAAGGAGACGGGTTGCAGACGAGTCGTGTTCCTCAGCTCAGACTGATTGCAACGTGTTGGCAATTAAATGGCATTTGTTTGTAAACCTTCACCAGTCTGTCTGACAGACAGTTGTTTGAAGACAGGTTACCACCCACCAGGAAACCCCTCATTTTTTTTCCATCCATCCGTCCTCTTCTGCTTATGTTTATCAGGGTCGGGGGCTATCCCAGCTATCATAGGGCAAAAGGCAAGGTACACCCTGGACAGGCTGCCAGTCTCATTTTCATTTATTAATTTTTTTCTTCCTGCTCATTGCAAGGCTACGGTCTTTTTATTTATTTCTTTATGACTAAGCTAGAAATGCATAACATATCTGTTGACACTGAAACCTGTACCTGGGGTTTGATGAGAGATGCTAGGAGGAGGTCAAAAAAGTAGCCACCAGTGTTAAAAGACAAGAAAGAGCGAACTGTTAGTTCTAACTGAAGATGGAAAAGACAAGGTGATGTTTTTGTGAGAGATTTGCTTTTCCCACTGTTTTTAGCACTTCCCTTTGTATTCCCTTTTTAAGATCCTGTCTAAAAATATAGACTCTCTGGCTTCCTGTCAGTCCAAATGTTCTCACAACCCTTAGTTTAGATAGTTGTTATCACTTGCAAGTGTAACTTTTCTTCATCTCTGCCAACTCTTGCAATCTTATCAGACAAAACAAGGACCTCATTTGGCCTTCTACAGAGCAAACCGGAAACAATATCGCAGCGGATAAGAATTTAGCCTCAACACCGTGATAATAGGTTTATGTTGTGGGAACCAGCTTGTGTAGCTTTAATCCTCTCACAGTGCTGATTTGTAAAGACTGCTAAAACTCAAACAAAGAGAGCGCTGGTGGGAGGAGGAGAATAGACTGATGAGAAAGTGTGTGTGTGTGTGTGTGTTTGTGAAGCTGTGTGCGCTGAGGTAAAACCAAGTAAAGTGTATGTGTGCACCTGTGTGTGCGTGTGTGTTGCTTGCCCACTGTGACTAATTTATTCCAGTTCTTGCTTTCCTCTCAGGGAGGTGTTTTCACAGTTTTCCCTCATACTTATACTGACAGTCGGTACAATTGTTCCCTGATTTTAAAAAAAACTTTCCCCCCCTTTTTTTTCCTAGTCTCTGACTATTTAAAAAAATAAAATAAAATAATGGAGGCGTCTTGAGGGATGATAAAAAAGGTCTTTTCTCTTAGATTTTGTTAAAGTCTCTGGGAGAAAGCAGGGCTAGTTAGTGAAGGATTGACATTTCTCTAATACCTAGCCGCAGGGAGAGTTTAATCAGGCAGGCTTCAGCCTTGTGTGCGCTGTAATGAATGAAATAAAAGCAGGCTGAAAGCACTAGTTTAATTAGATGCTACCCATCATCGGCGCGTCGCAGGGATCCAATGAGGCAGGTCAGTGAAGGCAATCTGTGCTGGATCTCTGTCTCTGTCAGTTTCACTCAGTTTCTTAGTGTCATTCTCACATTTCCCAGATTTCTGCCTTTCCCTTTCTTCCCAAGATGTCAAAGAAGGGTAGATGGGATCAGGATGAGAATGAATTTGCGTAAAGTAAACTATCAAAATGTTTTATCTAAGTAGCATATGACATATGAATGACACAGAAACACGGCTACAGCAATGTTGGCACCTATACACTCTCTGGCTTCCTGTCAGATGTCAGATTCCAAATGTTCTCACAACCCTTAGTTTAGATAGTTGTTATCACTTGCACTAGCCTGCACTACACACAGTACAACTGAGGTGGTGGGGTACATATTAATTTTGTAAGTTGTTATGTAGTTGAAAGTGGGATTATATAAGATTCTAAGTGTAATGTGCCTGATCCAGGCAATATACCAGCATACAACAGACTACACCGTCTGGTTTTCACTTATCAATAAAGAGTCGATGATTCAGGGAAAAAAAGCAGAATTCATTCACACGGCACACAACTTTTTGTGTTGGGCAAAACTGCTTTGTACATGAACAGATAGATTTGACACGTAAAGGCTCAGTAGGATAGGTTTGATTTCAACTCAAGATTATGAAAATCTGTGCCGGGCACAATTTATATTCTGCTAATGGAGAGGCGAGAGTTGGATCAGGCCTCTGTTATCTACCCTGGTCGTGGTCACGGGGGGGTTGTGCAGCATTCTTTGTGAGGCGGGCCTCAAATGTTTTAACTGGTTAGCAGAGCTGGCACTGAAAAGCAGCCTGTCGGATGCAATCAGTTCCTCACTGCAGCTTCTTTTAAAGGACCAGCCAAACATAATGGACAGCTAAGCTGCAGCACTTGCTAGCGACCTATCCCCTTCCCTTTCCTTTCTGAACTCTGAACTCTTGCTGGGATTTCTTAACTCTGTACATTTTCCTCTTGATAGAGGATATTTTGGTAATGGGTTTTCAGCCTGCTCTGTATAACTCTACATTCTTCCCTTTTGGGGGTAGTTCTAGTGCACAGTCTGTTCCAAAGTGTGCCCATTCGGAACTGGCTGATTGCTTGACCTCTGGTATAGCTGCTCGCAGCTTTCTCATAAGCACAGACCAACCGCCCAGCCGAAGAGAAACACTGCTGTGAGTCCTTTTTGTGTTGTTAGCCATATCTGTCTAAATAGTTGTCTGATCATCTAAAGGAGCCGGCAATGTGGTGTGTGATGCCGGCAATCTTTTAACCATTGTGCAACTGTAATAAAGTTGGGTACAACATCAGGTCCGTTGTATGTGGTCTATAAAGATAATAACACTTACTGAACCATAGGCTGGAATAAAGTCAGTTTCTCAGTTGTTTCCTTCATTTATTAGTGACATGAGCAATTATTATTTTCTGGTTGGGGGGTGGGGTGGGGGGTTGGAGCATTATGTATTAGTATTATCTGAACTAACTACTTTTTTTTAACTCTTAAAACAAGTCACATTGGAAGCATACCAGTAAGTTGGGGGCTGTGTTGTAATAGCAGACATGCTAATGTGCTAAGTTCCAGTCTGTCCAAGACTTTACTGCCAGAGGTGAAGAGTGACACACTGGAGCAACATAACAGTGTCATAACTAACAGGCCATGATCAATTTACTGGCCATCCGTCCAATTTCTTCCTCCTATCTGGGTCCAGATCTCAGTGACAGAAGGCAACAGAAAAATAGCCCTAGAGGTGTTTCTTCCTGCCACATCCTGCAAATCCTTCTGAGTACTTCCAGGCCAGATGGGATATGTAAACCCTGCAGCATGTTCTGCGCCTGACTCCACAAATAGGATAAGATCCTTTTTGGATAGCCTGACACAAAGTCAGAAAGTGTTCAGGGCCAACCAAGTTTCCATGGCCTCTTCAAAGTGAGCTTTTGGGCCGTGTGACTTGACCTTTCACTGCCTAATCTGATTTTTCAGTTTTTATAAACAGAGTTAAAAAGTCCAAAAAATGTCCCTGCTGGATATAGCCCAACTAGAACTGGACTTCTTACATAACATAAACACATTAAAAGCATTTAAAAAGCAGACTTGTACCGAGCACAACTTTTTTTTTTTTTCCTTCTTTCCCCCCCCTGCTTCTCGGCCAATAGATCATTTCAAAATAACCTGTTTTCTTTTTGTTTCCAGCTCACGTATTTGGCGAGGTGTAGAAACAACCCCCCTCTAAAACAGATGGTGGATAGCAAAAAAAACCTCTGTTGGTATAATTACAATATACACAAGCTTATAAAGAACTGATGTCAAAAAAACAAACTATATTTAATTTTCATGTGTGAAGCTGTGTTTGATCTCAGAGATTAAGTTTAGTGAAACTACTTTTATTTTAACATACAATTAGGCTTTTTTTGGATGAGAATAAAAAAGAACACTCATAACCGTTAATATAGCATTCATCTTTATCTGCAGGTGAAGTAATGTCAAACAGTGTATCATCTCAGATGGTTTAAAGTTCTACCATTGTGGCTTGATGACCCACGCTGTCCCTCACAGGTGATGCCATAGCCCAGCTGACAGATGTTGGCTCGGCCTTGCCGTCCCAGTTGGATGGACGTGTCACAGTGTTCAGTGATAGGACAGCGATGGTGAAGGCTGCTCGATTGCTCCTCTCTTCTGTCACCAAAGTCCTGGTGCTGGCCGACCGCATCGTCATCAAACAGATAATCACATCACGCAACAAGGTGAGTCATAACGGACGTGAGCCATAGCCATATAACCACATGAATGGGTTCGCTTGCTTTGTTTATCTTCTACACGTTTTGGTCCACACAGAAATACACACACATGCACGTGCGCACGCGCACACACTAGCAAACTCCATCCTGAGTCCTTTATGTCCTAACAGATAAGCACTGGCTCTCTGAAGAAGTGCTCTGGAGGTAATTGAAGGGAAACAGCACATTTAGCAACCACATAAAAACGCAGAACCAGAGACTGTCTCTCTCTGTCGTACTTGGCTATGCTCTTAGCCAGACAATGTGATACAGATGTAGCTCTGTAGAATGAGTCAAGAATGGAAATGGGCCCTAATCATGACTGGTTAGCCTCGTTTCGACAGACAGTCGACAGCCCCCTGCTCTCCATTATTGGCAAACGCAATTATACCTCTTCCTCCTCTTTGCATGGCATGGATAAAAGCTGCTTATGCTCGGTATGCTAGCACGGCCTCATTGGCTAGCATAAATGTAATGCAAATCAATGTAAAAAAGATACTGCTAATACACTTCTATCACATTGAACTGTCAATGCAACAAACAGCAGGATGAGGTTGACAGAAATAAAAGCATATATTTACTCTAGTATGGCAAATCATGTTTTTAGTCTCCCTACTAATATTCTCATCAACATAGACAGTATAAAAGATGAATGTCGCTGCCATGAATTTTTTTTTTTTACCGTTTTCTGAAGCACAGAGATCATTTTAAATGTTGCCAATTTGGTTTCAAAAACCCGACTGCGGCAAGGAGTGTGAAATAGCTTGCTCATTGGCTAACTGGGAATCACTTGTCAATAGCCAATGAGCTTACCATGGATAATCTTCCGGTATCCACTGACTAAGATTTGAAAATAGACTTAATTTTTTGTTCAATATGACCCAAAATGATTGACTGGGTCCACAAAGTCACGAGGAACTTTCTAACAGAGGTCATGTCAAGGCATTCTTTCCCTCAAACTTCAATTCAGGTTTCTCGTATGATGTCTTGCACTCATTGCTCAATTGTTGGCCATTGCGTATGATACCACCAGTTGTTATGGGAAACATTTTTATTCTCCAACTGGTAATTATTGGCATTGCTGGCAGTGGATCCTGAAGGTTTGTGACTATTGCTGGATGAAATTGGTTGAAAAGAAAGTGCTACACCAAAGACATCCTAGTGACTGCTTTGGTTGCTACCAGATTGCCGTGGTTTCCTGTAGTTTTTTCGTGTTTGTCTGCAAGTGGGACACGCATCGGAAATGGAGAGGTTTCATCTTCAAAAATAAAAGTTGCACCTTTTTAACCATGAAGTTTCACTGCAGCTCAGAGGGTAGCTGGACAGTGTTTGTAGAGAAGTCCATTTCTTCCACATCAATATGCTAGCAACCAAAGTTATTTGCTAACTGACTGGGGACTTCTTATTTTTCCTTACAGGCAGGTCCTAGCCAACCTGCATGACTCCGACTTTGGCACTCATTTTCCACACGACTGCCTCAGCAACCATTCACCAACTATTCGGGGAATATTTGTTTTTTCTTCACAACTGGTGTTAATTTTGACAGCTGTTTTTGGTTTTGCTTTAGCTTTAGTCTTTTGACTAAAATTACATTTAGGTTTAGTCATAATTTAAGCCTCCGAATTCTATTTATTTTTAGTTTTGTGTTTTTACCGTGAGAGTTGCTCCACATGGTGGGTGACAAACAAGGAGCTTGGCTCCTTCGCACCCTGTTTGTCAACAGCAGATTAAATGTGTGCGTCTGACCTTACTGCACGAAGGGGATTACATCTGATTAGATCACCTTCAATCCAAACTTAGTTCTGATTGGAAATTGTCTTTTCAGAACATTTTCATCTTGTTTTTATTCATTGATGAAAGTGTCAGGACACTTCAACATTGCGTCTGAGCTCGTGCATTTGTTTTTATTAAGTGATCGTCTTGTTTTTTCATAAAAAGTGGTCGTGGATGAAAATTATTGCTTGACGTAATAAACACTGTTCACAACTGGTGGTTGCCAAATGATTGCAGACCTGCCTCTCGGCCTTTTGACCGAGTCCTTATTTACTTGATCCTAAACTGTCACCCATGATTGTCACGCGTTCAGAGTGTGACATGTGTTTGTAAAACCGGTCACCATTCGGTGGCCTTCAAGTAGAATCCAGGTTTAAAGCACTTCCACAGTGGCTTCATCTTTCTAACCCAAAAGCAACGACCAGGTTTTATACTGCCTATGATACCAAACTATGTGGCCATTTCCAGTGCTACTCTGATGTTCTTCCTGCTTTCAGGTTCTGGTAACGCTCGATCATCTGGAAAGAGTCAGCACCTTCCAGGAATTTGTTCAGATTTTCAGCCAGTTTGGCAACGAGATGGTGGAGTTTGCTCACCTGACGGGAGACAGACAGAATGTGAGTGGCATCTTAAGAAACACAATCTGGTTCTTTTTGCTTGAAGAGGATAAAAATCCTCAGTTTACTTAAAAAAAAAAAATCCCTCATTAAATGAAAACGCTTGCAAATTTGTATCCGAAGTCTTTTCAATTCTGCAACACTGAAAAACATGTTTGTTTATTCATATCGGCCTAATCTTGCAAACATTGATTTCGTAAACGTGATTTTCTGAATGTGAAAGCAGGCGATGAAATTGCACTTTAAAACCTCATGTACCTACACTGTGAATGTGCCGGCAAACTCAGAACAAATCAATAACACACGTGTCAAATATTTACACTCCCCAGCAAATCAAACAATTACAGAGTAACAAGGCTTCCTCTGGTTTCTTTTGTTTCCATCAAGTTTCTTCATCTCTTTCAGTGTCTATTTATTCTCCCAACCAATGTCTCAATCCATAAAAGAAATGCACTGGTCAGTTATGACTCACATCTCTCAAATACAGTTTGCAACACGAGTCTGAGCTGTGCTTTTAGCAGTCCTTTCTCTTTGCAGTTTATCAGCTATCCAAATTTGCAAGACAAAACTTTTGCTCAAAGCTTCAAAAACAGTCCAACTTCAGGCAGCTAACTTTGTACTGTCAGAGAGTGCTAATCCTATTTTGATCCATACATCCAGCCTCTGCAGCTAAAGCGCTTTGCCTGCAGAAGTTGATGCAAAGTGCAACGGCTGCGATATCTCTACAGGGAGGGGAGGATCGACCATCCCTCTTTCTGAATTTCATCAGGTCTCGTGTTTTGACACACACGTCACGTCTCTCTCCAACGCTCCTCGTTGCTGTTAATGCTCTCTCCCCTCATTTGCCACCCTGTTTTGTGTGTGTGTGTGTGTGTGTGTGTGTGTGTGTGTGTGTGTGTGTGTGAGTGTCAACTCCAGCTCAAACACTCACACGCGCACACATTGCTTTAGAAAATCTACCATCTTCATCTATTGAGGCCAGGCGAGCACAGAGGCAAAAATAATGACAGATAATCACACCGTCTTTGTAATCTATGGCGAAGTGCCCAGAAAGGAGTTGATTCAGCTGCCTTTTCCAAATCCAGTATCTACATAATTCAAGCTGCCTATTTCTGAGCGGAGTACACAAAGAAGATGCGGCAGGTCAGCCACAGTGTATGTTCTTTTCTATTCCGGTAGCATCTCTTTTTGATAGATGACAGCTCACCTATTAAGTTTCATGTGTGTAACTTGGAAACGGATCTGTGTTTCGTTTGGGCGTCCCTTCACACAGCATGAAAGATTTGTTGAATAGCTTTGATGCTTCATGTCCCTTGCTCACCCTGAGAGTTCTAAGACGCCGTAACTTAAGTAAAGCCACCCAAAGCCATCTGGTGTGTGTGTGCGTTTGCGCTGCAGGACTTGAAGGATGAGAAGAAGAAAGCCCGGATGGCAGCAGCTAGAGCAGTGCTGGAGAAGTGCACCATGATGCTCCTCACAGCCTCCAAGGTAAACCGCCGGCCCACCAACACTGGGCCTCGAGGCAAGGTTTATAAATTCTGTTCGCCTTAAAGATTTAAAGCCTTCTCGGGTTTCTCAAGACTCAAGATTTTTGGCCCACTTTGGCTTTATTATTAACACCAACCAAAGTCACATCATCATAAAAGAAAAATACTATCTGTGGTTGAAAAACATGAAAAATGACAGAAGTTCAGAAGAGCACGACAGGGTGTAGGTTTGACATTTCACATCTTATCCCTACCAAAGACTTGCCTGAGGCACCCAGACTGTGAGTCGGCGCGGATCAACAAAGACGCCGTGTTCCACCGAATGCGCTGTGCCCTGGAGCAGGTCATCGAGATTGTCACTGAAGCACGGAGCTGTGGGGAGAACAGGATCCTTCCTGCCAGCATCTACAATGGCATCAAGGAATTTAAGGTAGGTTTAGAGATTACACTTCGCACGAGTCATGGTGAAGGCTTCAGATTAATGACGCTGACGTGTGTTAGCCCGTGAAGTTAAGTAGTGATCCTCTTTTGTTAATGCAAAGCGCTATTTAAGCGTCACAGCAGTTACTCATCATCAGATTTTTGGAGTGTTGATTTGTGGTCGCACAATTGGCATTTGTTGCATTCACGGTGTTTGCTGTAGCTTCAGATGTGACTCAAACAATCAACACAGAGGAGCAGACCTACTCATTTAGTAATTTGGCTCATACGGTTGAGTGAATCACCAGTAAACCTACCTCATGCTTACTAATCTTCTCTCTCCTCCGTGTGCGCTGATGTGCAGATGAAACAAACGAATACTTGTAAAAACATTTTTAAGGAGGGGTTTTTTCCACTGAGATAAAAGAAAGAGGAAAGTATTTTAATGAAAAGACCTGAGATGCTTATTGCTTTTAATGATCGTCCCGGCTGCTTTTAATCTCTTCTCATCTACTCTCCAAATGCTCCTTCAATTCACCGCAATTCCCAACTTTCCCCCCACCCTGCCTTCTGCAGTCCGGCGTGGAGTGCCTGCGGGAGAACCTATACTCCTTGTCACCGCAGAGCATGTCCAGCCAGCTGGAGGCTCTGGTTGAGCGGACAGAGGACTTCACTGATTCGGCCTACACCAGTCATGAGCAGCGTCAGGCCATCCTTGGACTGTGCCAGCTGGCGCGCCAGGACACCCAGCAGCTGGTACACGCCTGGGTTGAGGCGGTATGTTGGCACATGCAGACAGGCTTTCACAGATGTACACAGAGACACAGGAATATTCATAAAAAACCATACATTTCTGTATAAAGACTATCCACAAGTTCTTATCAGATTCGATTAGATAAAACTTTATTAATCCCTCGGGTGGGTTCCTCCGGGAAATTCGGTTTCCAATAGCACAGCACCGACAGAAGTTACAGAATGTGAGCAGAAATATACCATATATACAGATATATAAATACAGAGACATATATAAATACAGAGTATACAAAGGGATAAATAGAAAAAGAATCCAAGGGAATTGCACATTTCAAGTATTCTATAAGAGGCTTCAAGTATTGGTAGGTTAAAAAGATGCAAAGAGTAGGAGCTATAGATGCTGATGTTGAGTTATTGCAAAGAAAATACAATATGTATTTATTCTGATCCTTTTAAGACTGCTGTTTATCATATACAGGACTGTACAGAAGACTTGAGCAGCCCTAATTTCTTTATATTTTGCTACGAAAATAGGAAATGGGTGCAGTAATTAAAAAAACATCTGCAAACATATATGGAAATGCAGAATATAAGGCGAGAACAATTCTAATAAGCCTGAATATCAATATTTGGCATGACGACTTTTGTTCTGAACTCTCTTAGGCAGCTTTCTTGTAATTTGTTGAAATAGTCTTCGGGAATAGACGTCGAGGCTACTTGAGGAACATTCAAAGCCCTTCTTTGGATGTTGGCTGCCATTAGTTCTGTTCTCTGTCATCATGATCACATCCCAAGATGCTTAAAAAATGTTGCGGTACAGACTCTGGAGAGGTGAATCCATGACTGATAGTGCTGCTTTCTGTGTTTTCCTATCTAAGTATGCTTTTACTGCACCGATGATGTTTTCCAGATGCTATTACATGGTGGATCAAATCAGATTGTAGACAGACGGAGCCTCCACCATGTTTTGCAGATGGTTGTAGACTATTACTGTTGCACCTTTCTCCCAACTTCAGACCAGTTGCTACTGATTTTCAGTTAAGTTCTTGTGTAATTTGGCAAACCTCAGACCAATTCTGATAAGGCTTTGACCAACAGTGCTGATGAAAAGATCACCTTACCACTAACAGGTTCTGTGTCGGTTGGGTTTTTTTTCCTATTGCTTGACCTGCAGACACTGTTCATCTAATTTTTATTTTTAAAACCCGACACTTCTCCAATCCTCCACACAATTTCCTCATTTTTTTTAAAGAGACACTGCACACAGTTATGAGAGATGCAGAGTTTTCCATTAATAGCTCTTTAGGTTGGTCCAGAAATATTTTTTTGGGGAACAAATGATGTGTTTTGGTGACTGGCTTTTACTAACAGTGTCTGATGATGCATTTTAACTTTGATTCTTTGCTAAGTTGTCTGCTAAGCGTAGTTTGATCCCTTTTTATGTTTGAATGATTGATAGGCCTCTTGACTTAACAAACAAAAAAATGGTCAGGCACAAGGACTGGACGGAAAATGAGTTTTAAACAGCCCATGTCAAAAGAAAAACTTCAGAAAGCTTGAAGAACTATTGCTTAATACCATTTTACAAAAGCAGTCTGGCTCCTTGGAGCCAGTACTGTATGAACATTCACTGCATTTGTTTTTAGTCTATTAGTCAGACAAAACAAGCACATTTAAACCACCACAGTGACCTCAGATAAATTCTGAAGTCAAAATGTAATAGATTTGAAAAATTAAAATATTAAGAAATTGTTAAAGAACATAATAGTCAGGCTTTGATAAATGTATTCTCAAGTGGAAACAATCTTGTGTTTATCTCTGCGCAGCATGCAGTGTGGCTGTTTAAACACAGCTCCGCAGACAGAAACTCATACAGGCAGACCCACACACATTAACATTAGGCCCCCCTCCTCCTACAAACTCACTTACTCATTCACCTTGCCTCCTCAGTTTCTTTTCACACATCTCTCCTGGAACAACATAGCATAATAACCCACCTGAATCACTGTTTTTACCGAGGCTCATTGAGCTGTGAAAGAAAATGTTGTGTTCCTCCTCATTCAGCGGTGGCTCCTTGGCCTTCAGAATTGATGGACTTGCGAAACGCAAGTCATTATGTTGCAGTTTCTAGTTGTAAACTTTTTTTTTTCCAGTGTACTCGGAGTACACAGAGATGCTACTGCTGCAAAACTGTACAGTACTGCCTCATCAAGCCTTTGCAGCTGAAGGTCGTGTGGGGACTGGAACACTGCAATGTTTTCAAACTGCTGAGAAAGATGTGCAAATACTCTAGGATCTTTAATTTGTGCTTTTCAGTGTTGTTGTAGCACATTTAGCAGCATTTCTGTCTGAAATTTGGAGAAATTGCAGTGAATTACTTCAATTATGTAATTGCTTTGAATCTTTTTATTCATATTGCACTGAATCATGCACTCTAATGCCTTCTTCTCTCCTCATATCCAGGATATAATGAGCCACAAATGTAATTAAAATATCAAAACCTGTGCTGCTAATGCACTCAATTCCTCTCTTTTTCCAGTCATATCTCATACTCTACTCATGTAAATTTGTGTTTGTGTTAGTCTTCTGCTGCATGTTTATCTAATGGATGGAGCATGTAAAAGCACACGGTGTCTCATGTTTTATTCTCCTCTTCTTCTGTCATCGGAGCAGCAGTCTGTCCACGCCAAAGAGGCCACAAAGGACATGGAGGTGGCCATCCTGAAGACGTCCCAGAGTGTCAGCGACCTCAGACGTGAGGTGAGCAGCAGTCTGTTGCTGACTGTGAAAAGATGTTCCCGGTTACAGAATCGGACATAACTGAAATGCCTCTGACTTGCTGGTGGTGCCTCTGTAGCTGCTTTCCTCGCTTTTATTTTCCCAGCACCTCAGCCCACCTGCTGCTGCCTGTGTCACCTCTGCTCTTCTTACCTTTTTTTTTGTTTGGTTTTTTTGTCCCCGTTTCTCTTCAAATGATCATTCTCATTTGTGCCTTTTTTTAAAAGCTCTTTTATTTAACCTTTGTTGACTCTGTCAGCTCCACAAGGTTGCGGTGGGCCGAGCCTCAGATTTGCTGAAAGTTCATGGGGAGCAGCTGCCTCTGCGGGCTCTCAAAGCAGCAGGCGCCGAGGGAAACCTGGAGGAAGTGGCAGAGTATTCGCGCACGCTCACTGAGCAGAAGGAGCAGCTGGTGGAGGTAGGTGGGATCAGGGGCACAGGGAGCAGAGGAACTAGTAGGAGGGTGACGGCTACTTGAATCTGTGGATGGAAATCAGTAGTAATGTTTGCATTTATCTGGTTCATTACCTTCTGATGTCACAGTAATCACTGCGCCTTTTTAGGAAAACATACTCATAAAATAAAAAAATTAAAATAGCACATTAAAAAAAACAGGTGCTTAAAAGAAAAAAAATGTTTTAAAATGTTAAAAATCAAAAACAATACTGATCATTGAGGTGCTCAGAAGATGACTTTGAGTGGATTATTGGTGAAAATGGAAGGGATTTTGTTTCTAATAGGTGAGATTCCACAATGCTTGAGCACAAAGGGTAGTTTATGCAAGACATTTGTCTATAATTTTAATCATTTGGCCAAATGATTGCGTTTTTGCCGCCGAGTGTCATGCCGTTAGCATGTTCCTCTGCCAACAAGGTCATGTGATCTGACAGGTTTGTTACCAATTACTCAAAAAACATTAAGGACAGATTTGCATGAAAACTTCACCAGGTTGGCCTCATTTTAAGAGATTGGTCCAAATAGAAGTGATTAAATGGAAGTGGAGCTGATTCAGATTTGCAGCCAGGAATTTTTTGGAAGGATTGTTTACCATTGTGGGAGAGGGCAAAACTGGATCGTCACAATCTTCACACAAACATGTCAAGTATTTTAAAAAAAGAATTGCACATTCTTAATTTAGAGCTGTGGACTTTTTGTGCTGGGGGTATACATACTGCTCTTTTTAGGGATTGCCTCATGTATGCTTTATTTTCCATCTGTTTCACTCCAGACGTGTCGGCTGTTGTGCCATGTGTCGGGCACAGAGCCATTAGAGATCACCTGCATACACGCTGAGGAGACCTTCCATGTCATTGGTCCACAGGTAACACAATCTGTCTAAACATTATCCGTATAAATAATTACTTTATTAAATTCAGCACTATTAATATACGCCCTTGACCGAATGTGTAAATAGCAGTAGATGGGAGTAAAGAGTCTGGTAAGTAATAAAAGTTGACTTAATTAAACTGCAGATACGGGTCGTTCCATTCAGCACTTTAATAGTGTGTCTATTAAGTCAAACTGGTCATTCTGTGGTTCAGGTGTAAAAATCAAACATGGGTAATAGTCTTCTTAATACGGAGGAAAAGTAGACGCTTAACTTCCCATCTCCTCCGTCTTCCTCCCACATCTTCAGTCCTTGGCTGAGAACATGCTGTCCACTTAGTCCCTCATCCCAGATCTAATTATGTTTGCTCTTAGAAACCATCCATGCCCGTAATTATCCGGCAATGTAGAATGTTCCCGCCTTGCAGCGCTAATGTCAGGCCCCACATGACTCCGCAGTAATGACTCCGCTCCTAAGTTCAAAGGTCAGCCAATCAATAACCGTGCGGCATGAGGGTGGTAGTGGTGATATCTCTCTCTCTCTCTCTCTCTGCACCCAGAGTAATGCGGGGGTGGCCCAGAGGGTAATTGGCTATTAAATACTACACTGTAGAGGATGGACATTGGGGGAAGGGAGGTGGTGAATAAGTGCGCTGGTGGTCATGTTTCATATTTGTCAAATTTTTCGAACATCGTACGTCAGTTTGATGTCAGGACCAGAAGTGTAGATATAAATTGCTACATATGTGTGAAACCGCTTCAGCGTGACTCATGCTGAACTGTACTTAGCTGCCTGAACCCATTTTATGATGATAAGTCCTTAAATACTTAACAGTTATACAAGCTCAATTTATGAGCTTCATTCACAGGCACTTGGTTTACATTTTAGATCAACAGCAGCATATGTATGAATGTAGAATGTATCAGAATTGTTCACTCTTCTGCTCAGATCATCTCAGCAGCCCAGACGCTGGCTCTCCACCCATCTAGTAAAATTGCAAAGGAGAACCTGGAGGTGTTCTGCGAGGCCTGGGAGTCGCAGCTCTGTGACATGGCTCTGCTGCTGAGAGAGATCAACGACGTCTTTGAAGGCAGGCGAGGTCAGTTGAAATCACTTCATTGGTTGTCTGTGTCCATTCAGGTGAGTTGTGGTAAAAGGAGAGTACAAGTATGGGTGAGTTATAAAGGGCAAGGGAGTAGAGGTCAATGTGCCATCTGTGGTGTCTTAACTTTGGGGGGGGGACAAAAAAAAGAAAGGAAAGAAAAGAAGATCCAATTCTATGAGAAACCTTGATGAATCATTTTCTTCTTGAAATTTTCAGCTGTATTAATAAAACTTAAGGCAGGCAGTATGAATGTATCTTTTCAAAATTAGTCATCACAGACCGTGGGAAGCTTTCTATCAAAGGAGTAACATCAATGCCATTGAACATCCCTGTATTCATTCCACCTCTTTACGCTTTCTCTATTTATTATTGTGCCAATAACCAGAAGTGTCTGAGTCATGGACAACCGCTCTGACGAGCTCTGCTGTTTGCACACTCGGTCACACACGCAGAGACAGAAAGTAGATACTCGAGTGTATTCACGTGTGCTGCGCAGAAGTCTGTGTGCACGTATTTGTTTGAAAGTTAGATCCAAGTACTTTTACACGCTGTCCTTATAACAACAATAACTCTTTCTTCCTAGGAGACAAAAGGCCTTATTTGTCACTTCCTAGACCTGGGGTGAGTGTCACACCATTCATCCTCATAAATGTCTCAATGATACAAACGTTTGTAATCCTCTGATTAATACCGCTCTCTTTTTCTCCACAGAAGCACTTGGCGAACATGAAGACTGCCAAGGCTGTCAAGTTGGATGCAGAGGTAGCGCACACACCACCAAATCCTCGGGCTTTCAGCACAATACATCACGTCTCATCTTGTACCGTCTTTTGGCAGCAGTATATTCATCTCTAGGAAACATTGTGTCACTCTCTTGAAGAATTGATCGAGTTTGTATGGTAATGTGCTGCAATTTTGTTGGGCAGCACTTTTTCACACGCTGTACCGCCACAGAAAGCAGGATTATGCTGATTACAGGCTTTCCGAGTGTGTAAACAAGTGAAAAGTACCATGCTGGCTAATATACACTTTTAAAAAGACATCAATTACACTTCATCAAAAAGATTTGTGTGGTTTTTAAATTTTTTATTTATTTATTTTTTCCTTTTGCGCTTCTGCGTGCCCAGGAGCAGACAAGTATGGCCAAGCTGGGTCTGGAACTTCGTCTTCTGTCGTCAGATGTAGACACAGAGGTGGAAAAGTGGGAGGACCAGGAGCATGAAATTGTCCGGCAGAGCCAGAGCCTCGCCAGTATGGCCTACAACATGTACCTGTTCACCAGGTAGCCTTCTAGTATCGCACTGACACATGCACACAAATTTTTTTTATATTATTTTAAAGCTCAGTGTTGTCAATCCCCTTAATCATCCCCGTTAATCTCTTAAGAGACATACAGAGCAAAAGTCTTGAGCCACCACTCTTTATATTTTGCTAGGAAAATGTGTCTGTGATCATTATCGTGCTGAAAAATGAAACTGAAGCCACTCAGACACTTCCCAAATGCTACTGCAAAAACGTGAACTGTGTTCATAACTCCCAAAAGGTTGATTCTGTTCATCTGGACGTAGCGTTTTCAGTGGGAGAAATGTTTCGTCATTTATCCAAGTGACTGATCAAAGACCATTAATCATTGATCTTAGTGTTTTAAGAAGATCCCCAAACCCAACAACAGCAGTGTTTTTACAGATGAATGTAGACATTCAGTGTTGTAGCTCTCTTCTGACTTCCTCTGTACATATCGACAGTGATTCGAGCCATTAGATTCAAATTTTGATTCATCACTCTCTTGGGGTGGCTGTAGCTCAGGAGTTTGAGCACGATGCTAAATCCCAGGTTGTTCTCCAAATGCATTCATTGCAGCGTGAAAGTTAGAAAGTACTTAGGCATAGAAAAAAGTGCCATATGAATGGAGGTGAATGGGTGAATGTTATATAAAGTACTTTGAGTGCTCTAGTAAAGTAGAAAAGCACTATATAAGAACCAATCCATTTACCATTTACCACACTATAAGACCCGTTGTCACTCATTTTTCAATTGAGGTCTTGTGTAATTTAGCACACCTCAGTCTTTTATCCCACTTTCCCTTCTTGAAGGATTGCCTTGACAGACACACTTCCACCAAGAACAAGGTCCAGATGCATCTCAGGTCTTGGGTTGTGTTTTGTTCCCATTTCTTAAAGACACGACTTTGAGCTACTTTTCATCTGCTGTAGATAGTATTTTTTTTTAGCCGTGCTATTTCTTCTCTTGGTGCAAAAATGCTATTTCATGCCTGTCAGACTGTGTTATCTTTGACGGTTTTTTTTCTGGATTCGACTTATAAATGGGAACTTTTTTTTTTTTTTTAATTTTCCAACAGGCTGCTAGTAACAAAGTGTCTAAAAACACAATTTGCTAAGTTGTCAGTTATGTGCAGATGCAACACTGGTTCATCGCTTGATTTAGGTGACTTTTTATGCTTAAATGATTCATAAAGTGTAACGTCCATTAACAAATAAACAGCAAAAACATTGTACTGAAAATGGTCCGGTACAAGGACTGGACTGGAAATGAGTGAAAAAGCAGCCAATGTCCAAAAAACCAACTTTTAGAGACCTTCAGAAAGCCTGGGGAACTATTGCTCAAGACCACCTTTAAAAACTTACAAGAACATTTCAGTCATTTGAAGCAAATTCTAAAGAAATGTGGCTTGTCTCAAGACTTCTGCACGGTACTGTATTTTCACAGATATTTTCTAAACAGAGTTGATTGCTTTGGAAGATGTTTGCCCTTGTGCATATTTCTAATCCGAGCTTCTCTTTATTATTTCCTGCATGATTGATCCACAGAGGGGAGGGACTGTTGAAAACAACGCTAGATCTTTTTCATCAAGCTGAGGTATTTTTCATTAAGCTTGCTCTGTTTGTTTTCCTTCTATTTTATTGAAGTTGTAAATGAACGCATCTATCGTCCCGTTCCACCTGATACACGCTGAAGCTCGCAGATCGATAGGTTAGTAAATGCAAGGATCCCTTCATTCACGACCCTGAAATGCAGATTTCACCGGGCATTACGGGGATTTATGAGTGCAGTGGGAATATAGCGTGGCAGATTCCCGGCCATCTCTGGCACATGGTGTAACAAGGTTTGTGCGTACGAGTGTTTCCTATTGAACTGGGATCTTTGCCAGTAATGTACAGTCATTTGTAGAATCAGGGACCGAAATGTCAGACAGGATTTATTCAATTTGTGTTGAGCAGGGGAGATAAGCGAGGAAGAGGAGCGAGAGGGGAAAGAGACGGGAAGGCACACTGATAAGAAGAGCCAAGAAAAATCATAGTATTTACTGACTAGGCTTCTTTTTAGTTAAGAGAGCTTTAGTTTTTCTTCTGTGTGTGTGTGCAAGTTGTTTGATTTTTGTCTCTTTTCTGACCTACTCTTAAGGTTCTTTCTGAAGAGGGGCTCCAGCTGTGCTCATCTCTCCGCACTTTTTCCTCTCAGGTATATTCCCATGCAATTAATCTATCTTGAACACACCAAAGCACAACGATTCATATAATGCAATTCCAAATAATGTTTTTTTTCTACAGTAGGCATTTATAAAGAAATCTATATAAAGAACAAAAGGGTTTTTTTTCCAAGTAGAAATAAAATGAATACAGTTGAGTATGAACCAGGAGAGAAGTTCACTTTATGCACAGTATTTTCTTGCTTGTCTTGTAGCATGTGATTGGCTGCAGCGTAGTAAGACAGAGCTAAGGAGATCGTTATAGCAAAGCTATAATGAAAGAATTGTTTATTTTCTCCTGAAAATGGGGAGATACTAACCAACTCTGTGCACACACACACACACACCCTCCGATACTAATACACACCCGTATCACACGTTGTGGCATGCCACGGTGCCAGGTCTGGCTTATAAATCACACAGCGAGAGCAGGAAATTAAGGCTGTCACACACTTTCACCATCCTCTTGTCCTCCTCTCAGACTCCAGTTTCAACAAAAGTAGCCTTGGTGCTTTCCTTCCTTTTAGCTCTCAACAAACTTCTTCCTCAGGTCCTCCAAGTTTAATTAAATGGCTCCTTTTGACAGCCTTTAACGACTGCCATTTGTCACCGCCGTGTGTCCGAGGCTGCGTGTGTTTGCGCACATGTGAATGGGCAGAGGGGGGTGAGAGCGGAGGGGGAGGTGGGTTGACTGCGACCGCCCAGGAGCAATTCATAATCAGGAGGCCCGGCTCTTCAGCTTCCTTCATGCTTTCTGATTAATTACATCAAACAAACTGGTGCTAATGGAGTCCCTCTGTCTCACCCTCCACTCCTGTAGTTCTTTGGCACCAAACACACAAAGCACATCTGTGTAGCTCTAATTATGCAGATGAGATTAAGCATTTTTTTTCTTACTAAGGTTTAAGAGGTTTTATATGTTGTTGCTGGGCATGAATGACAAGGGATTGAGGTCTTGGGTCATTGGTGGCATGTATCTGTGTAGACTACGATCTGGGGATTAACTCGGATGGATAACAGACTTAAGCAGCAGATCATGGCTATTGCTGATGGATTACATCAAGCAGCCCTTTTTTTAAAAAAAACGTCTTTTTCTTTAATCCACTTCTCCTTTTCCCGATGCTTAATTTGTATTTGACCACGAGCCCTGTGAATCTCGTTCAGTAAATCTATCAACGTCTGCACATATTAACTCTCCCAGCGAAGTGCCGTTATAAAACAGTGTCTTCTGTTCTGAAAGACATCCCACCCTCCCTCTGTGTGTACCTCTCTCTGTTCCAGTTGGTTGATGAGGAAAAGACTGTGGTGATGACAGAAATGGAGAAGCTGCTGGCTTTGTGCCAACAGCTGCAGATGGGGGCTAAGACTCCTGTACAGGGCAAGGCTGCCACCTTCCAGAAGGTAACCATACTACACCTGTCTGTGTTTTTATCTCTCTTCTTGTTAGTGTCTGCACTCTTTATTAGGAAAAAAAGAAAACCAATTACTTATTTTTGCCTGAAGTCTGTTCGGTTTGGTGGACGTTAAATAAGTAATATCACAGAGATCGAACAAAGCAGATAAAGAGTGTTTCCACTGAAGGACCGAAGAAGCTCTGACACTATCACAACTATCACCCCAACAACCAATGGGTATCATTGGCTGAACACACAATAGGGCATGACTAATTGTGTTCATTACTGGCTTCAGAATAATCTTTCAGTTATCTTTGAGTAATACGAACATCTAACGCAGGATGCTGGGTTAATGAATGTCTATGAGGAATTAATGAGCACCTTGGACGGGGATGAGCTGCCTTTGCTCACCTTGTAATAAAGGCGCTGGTTTGGAATCAAAAGGACACGATGAAGAGTAGCATGCTCAAGGCTGATTAATTAGTGCCTCTTTTATATGTATTGGCTCCCGCCTCTATATCTCTTTACCTTCACATCGACCGTATCATTTATCTCGAACGGTAGAGAGAGCCTGTCTTACGGGGGTTGGTAGGACATGGATGAGGAAACGTTAAATTACAGGGTCAGTGTAGTTTAGTGCTGCTGCTGCAGTGAATCTCTATGCGTGGACCCTTAGTGATGTATTATTTTACGTCTGTGCTTTCAGGTGGACTCATTCATTCAGGCAACCAGGAGCATCCTGAGTGTGGTCCTCTCCCTCCTGCCATGCTGTAACAAGCTCAATAGAAAGGTGACATCCACTGACCTGGACACTTTATTGACAGGCAGCTTGAACATATATACGAAAGTATAGAAAAAGCTTGGAGATCTTATTATCCAGATACATATGCAAACATCACAGCACGCTGACACTTGCAAACATGTACCTTTTATTTTTAGCACGCAGCAGATATACAGCAGCGCCTGTGTTCATTTCTAGCTATGTTTTGCAGGGGATGGTCAATATCTTTGCCTCCTTTTTTTGCTATCTATCAAAAAAGTCTCCAGTGAGTTGGTAAGTGTCTGCGATTTTGAGCTGAAATCCTTGTTGAAGCTAAAAGGTGTCAGTTGTTGGACTGATTGCCACTGAAGCACATTCACAAGATCAAACCGTAGACTGTAAGCAGAAAGCTGCAGCTGGCATTGGCAACTTTTTACTCGAAGCCACTCTTTGGGCTTTAAGTTCAACACATCATGATTTTCGAGAGCCACAAGTGACCGCATCTACACCAGCGCGTGAAGGAGTGCTATGTTACCGGCTAGGTAGTGAGTTCAATTAAATTCAGTTTTATTTATAAAACAGTTGCCTCAAGACGCTTTAAAGTTGCATCCAGAGATGGTATAGATTTTAAACTAATTTCTGGAAAAAAAAAAAGCTTGGTGATGTAGTTTTTTTTGGGTGTTTTTAATAACATAAACACAGCAACATAAAAAGAACTGACTCCAGTACAAGCAATCAATATTTCATATAAAAATATTGATTATGCCAGCTTTGTGTGTATAAACAGTTAGAAACGAGCCATTGTATTTTGCCGTTTGTTTGTTTTTTCACTTTTACTCTCCTGTGTCATTTACTTTCAGTACAAGTCAGAGAGGAACAGCCTCAGTTCCCCGCAGGATTGGAGAGAAAGGCAAGACACATCCACACCTGTCAAAGAGGAAGGAGCTCTCAACACCAAGAACAGCAACGGATTTGGCGTTAAATCTTTGGAGCAGCACATGGCTGGTCTCAACCTCCTTGAGAGCAAATAATCCCAGGCAATCTCTTCCTTTGTCCACTCTTTCCGATAAAGCAGCACATAGCTGACCTCACCTCTCTGGAGAAAATATGATCTTAGAAATAGCCCCAGTCCCCACCCCCATCCGTCATTCAGTACTAGTCTGGTAAAGATGGTTGACTTGGCTCAACTGGAATTTGCATTTCCTGCCTGGATGATGTTTGCACAAGTAAAAAAAAAAAAGGAAAAGCAAGTCTATGCTCTCTTTCCCACTGAGGTTGATTTAATCCAAGGTAGCGTTTCACCTGAAGCACCAGTTCCACCCCAGTCCACAAGATGGAGTTATTACTACACACACACAAAAAAAAGTTTTCAAAAAAAGTGAGGCCTGTCACAAACCTGATTTTTTTTTTTAAATATTTTTTCTTGCTTCTGAATTAATAAACTAATTAAAAGTCAGGAGAGAACTCCACTTGATGCTCAGCTCAGCCATACATCTATCTTCACTATGTGCCTCTGTGTGACAAGCCTCTGTGTTTTGTGGTGTTCTGTAATTGTGTTGCACAAGTTATGTAAAAAAAAAAAGTAAAATTAAGATCCACAATGCATGACGCCATCATTACCAAACCCCCGTGTTTGAGTCTCCTGTGGTCACAGCCTTGTAATGTGACACTTTCTTTGTAATGCGCGCCACAGCAGTACACCACGATCACTTGCATTATATTGAGCACCTCATTTACATTAGGTTTTACAAGCTGACCACACTACATAACACGCAATGGATGTCTAATAGCCATTATTGTACGACATTCCCCATGTGCCATGCTAGTAGGAAAATGCAAAAAAACTAAAAAAAACAAAAACAAATGCCAAATACGATTGTTCTTGCGTCTTCTTACTGTTATAAAATATAAAACATAGTCCTCCAGTGTTAATGGAGACACTTTTATTTAAGCCGGGTTTCTCGACTTGATCGAACCTCTGTTTATATTGTCCTGAGAATTATACGAACCAGTCTACATGGCATACTTTCTCTCAAAGAAATGAAACAAGTTTGAACTGGCACACGTGTAAAGTGGAACCTTGAAGTGTACTTGTTATGAAGACTATCATTGTGAAGCTGCCTAACAGACCATTATGTATTAAATGGTATATATTACTTGGTACTTGAAGCATATGTATCCCGAGGTAATCACTTTGGTACTAGGAGAGGGAGTTAGAATGAATGAAATTTATAACCACACAGGAAGCTTTAGAGAATCACTGTACAGTGTGAGAGCAGCTAAGACTGCTGGGTAACGTAGTGCCGCCAGAGATGTGACGAAATCGTATCTAGTTTTGGACCACCGTTTCTTTTGACGATTCAAAGGTTAATAAAAGTGACACAAAAAAATAAACAATATTTTTCTTAAATTATTGTTTGTCTTTCTTTATATTCGACAGAAATACTTCAAACTCATGATTAGTATGTAACAAGAAAATAAAAGCCACTGTTCATGCGTTCTACTAGTTCCTTATTATATTTATCAAATTGGCAAATCCAAGCATAGACAAATTACTTGAAATCTGACTGCTTCTTGGATCCTTAAAATGTTAAACACTTTAAAAAAAAAAAAGAAAAAAAAAAGGAAAAATATAGAATAACCTAGATACACAGTGCTTCATTATAAACAAAAGCCTTTCAGTCTTCTGCTAACTTTTAAGTGCATGAGGGAAAGAAACTCTCCCACAATAGAACGGGCTTGAATAAGGCAGGAATGTGGGGAACTGTCAAGATGGTTGGGACTGGGCAGAGCTGCGTTTGGAGACGATGTTCTCAAACTCGTCTCTGTTTAGAAGATTTTCTGTGATGCTCTTGCTCTCTTCAAACTTTGGCAGGATGACGGCGATGTATCCTTCGGTGGATGGCTGTAGAGATTTGACAAACCAAGCATTGTTACATGTGTTTATGAACCTTTACTAGTGTTATCTAATCTCCTCATAGGCATATGAAGCCGTGTCACCATCAGGTATGCTAAATTAATGTCAACTACTCATGTAAGGGTGTTTAACAGGGGAAAAAAAAAAAGGTACAGTACGCAGTAATAGTATGCAGATGGAGACATGTTAAAGATGACATGTAATGTACTTTACATTTACATGTGTAAGGTAAAATTGTAGGTTTTACCTTTTCCAGCAAGAGATTCGGAGTTTCTAAAATGTTCTCATTGACTTCCAGAAGACGACCCCGAATGCAGCTAAAACAGCCAGTGATGAAGATGTATGAGCACGTGGAAGATAAATATATACTTTAACAGTCAAAGACAGACTTTTACCTGTAGATTGTGTACTCTGTTTCATCTGTGCATGTTATCCTGCATAACGGTGCAAAATCAGTAAGGAACTGTCCCCCCTGTCGTACAGGCCAAAAAAGGAATGTTAGGATAAATGTACGAGCACACAGACCAAAATCCAGAGCTTTATTAACTTACCCGCTTGGACTTCCCAGAGACTTTATTTTCCAGCCGACTGCAGCCATTACTGATCTGGTAATTGATGCTTTTGATTGTGCGTCCGTTTTGTAGAATTGGGTGAGTCTCTGCTAAAGTGATGACACATATTCTGCCAAGAAAAACATTTTAAGAATCTATCAAGCGCCTTTTAAAATCTATATTTCTCTAGCGACATACTGATGTAGAAGTGATATAAATCACTCATACCGAGCAGGGACTATGTTGTGTAACAAATACAGTGTAATGTAGAATCAAATTATTATTATTCCCCATTTTCTCAATTTCTTTCCTGAGAAAACTTCCACTTAGTCATGATCAGGCCTACAAAATACATTAAGCTGCTGTTCTTCTTTTAGCTGTTCCCTTTAGGGGTTTCTTCAAACCACTCAACTTGAACTGTCCCTCCAATGAACTCATTTCTAATCTTGTCTATTCAGGTCACTCCCAATGAAAATCTTAACACCTCCAGCTCAGAGCTTCCTGTCTTTTTGTCAAAGCCACCGTCTCCAACCATACATCATAGTAGGTCTCACTACGATCAGAAAAATATTCCCTTTCACTCTTGCTGCTATCACTCTGCCACAAATCACCTCTGACATTCATCTCCACCCCGCTTGCACTCTCTTCTTCACCTCTTTTTTGTGCTGTCTGTTGCTTTTGACACCAGGTATTTATACTCTTCTACTGTCACTACCTCTACTCCTTGCATGTTCATCTTTCCATCTGTCTTCATTTTCATTCACACACATATCAAGTCTCGCGTCAACTGACTTTCATCCCTCTTCTCACCAATGCGTATGTCTACCTTATCAGGTTCTCTTTCACCTGCGCCCTATAGAGCACAATGTTGTCTGCAAACATCATAGTCCACAGAGACCCCTGGCTGACCTCATCTGTGAACCTGTCCATTACCACTGCAAACAAGGAAGGGGCTCAGAGTGGTGATGTCATGCCATGCCACTGCTACCTTGAACTCATCTGCGAGTCCTACCAAACACCTCACTGTTGTCTCCCGGTCCTCATACATGTTCTGCACCACTCTCACATACTTCTCTCCTACCCCTGATTTCCTCATGTAGTACCGCACTTCATCTCTTGGCACTGTATCACATTCTTTTTCTTGATCCAACTCCTGACCTTCCCTGTACTCCTTCATCACTCTCAAAGCATATTTGTAACTGTAGTGCTCTTTCTTAGCGTACTTCCTCTCTTCTTAACATAGCTTCAATAAATCTTTCCCATATCTTCATGGTATGGCTCATCAACTTTACCCCTCTGCAGTAACTAAAGCTCACACTTGTTCTTGAAAATCTGTACCAATACACGTCTTCTGTATTCCTCAGGTATTCTCTGACTTTCCAAGATCGTGCCAAACAAATCTTAGTCCAAGACAATTCCATACCTCCACGGGTATGTCTTCTGGACCAACTTCCTTTCCACTCTTCATCTTTTTCATGGCTATTCTCACTCCCTAATTCACCACCTGTCTTCTCTCATGCGTCAGGAAGAGCATCCAGCGTAAAATCTTAGCCAAATCAAACATACAAAAGGGCCATTAACATACAGTGAATCATAGCAATTGGTGTGACTCATGGTCACTTGGTCAACCTCCTGTTACCTGTTTGAATGCTGTAAGATGCAATGGTCCTCGCATGGCTTTCCCTTCATGTCTAAAAACAAAAAATGAAAAAAGGTGTTCGTGACATTAAAAGCAAAATTAAAAAACACCCCATCTATTCAGACTAAAACTAAAAGTTAACGCCATCTCCCCCTGAACACTTAAGTTCACCTAACGTTAGCTCACTTAGCTTAGCTACTTAGCAAGTATAGATGAGACACGTTCACATGGACGTTATTTACCGGCTCTGTACCAGCGTGTGTAATATCGGTCGATAACTGAAGGAGCATTTGCTTTGGTATCTTCATGTTCCACGCTCTCCATGTAAAATAATAACACTGGAAAATTAATTTAAGGTATTAGCTTGGCGTCAACTTGTCTTGTCGGACAGTAAATAGTGCAGCACCGGGCAGTCCGTCCTTGAAATATATCCGAAAACCCCAAAGGCAAATAATTCTGGCTGTTCTTTTGTTTTGTACAGCGATTCGCATTTCTTTGTAGTGAATCTTCATTGACAGCAATAAACAATAAATTATTAAGTTTAATATGTTCACCAGAAGAGCTGGTAACTAACTACAGATAGTATCTTTTGAACAGTCTCTCACTTTTCACTAATCACAATATATAAGATTGAGACAAAACAAAAAAACTTCAACCCTCCAGAAAAAAGGTCTTTCAAAACTTAAAAAAAACGGTCTTTATTATTTCTATGCATGGAAACGTGCTTTAAGCGTTCAAATCTTACACAACAGAAAAAAGGGAAATCCACATTAAGTTATAGTGGAATAAACACACAAGTACATTTATTTACAAGTAAGTGTGTGTGTGTGTGTGTGTGTGTGTGTGTGTGTGTGTGTGTATATATATATATATATATATATATATATATATATATATATATATATATATGTGTGTACATATACATACATACATACATAAACATTTCATAAGGTTGTACAGGAGCTGCACATTTCTGCACCTTAAGACTGCTCTGAGTCAAACTTGACCAGTACCTGCTTAAATTTTAGATACACAAATGTCAAATGTGGGTCAAATCAAGGAAAATTGTGATTTTAGAAGAATGTTTGTGAAATTGTGAAACTATACATATTATGGCTGTGCATATTTTTAATGGAACAGTGGTTGATCTTGACACTGTCATTAGAATTGTATGCATTCCCACAGCATTTGCCATATTGGTTCCTTCAGAGACAAGAACCTGCTGGAGAATCACGGTGGAATCTTTGAATAGTGAATTAGTAAAAAGCCAAGAGTGATCATATATGATCCATCCATGAAACAGAGGTCAGAGTGTGCCTTGAAAGATGGTGCTTCCACACAGACACAGGACTTGAAATAGGGCAGAACAAAAGTGGGATGGTCAGCACTGTTGCTTCCCAGGAAAAGCATTACAGTTTCACATCCTGCCTGTGTGTATTTTGCATATCTGGGTAGATATTGTGGCTTCGTCCCACAGTCCAAAACATGCATGTTATTTGAGGTTCTCAACTGGCACACAGATAGATTTTGCATCTCATCATGTAATCTTTATAGCTGTTGTATTTTTAGGTCTTAGATAAAACAGGACATGATGATGTTTTCTGACAAAAAACAATTCTTGTAAAACCTTAAAGTAAATAAACTCTCCCTGCTCTTGGAAACATTAATTAAGGATTAATACTCCATTTATTGATGTCAGACAGGCTAGTAATGCATTCTAAACAGACCTGCAGTTTGAAATTAGTTATAGACAATTATTATGAGGGAATTCTTAGACCTGGGTAAAAAAAAAAAAAAAAAACATATTGTGAAGGCATACAATAAGAACAGTATGTAAGGGGTAATGTTATTTCACTTAAAAAAAAAAAAAAAAAAATATATATATATATATATATATATATATATATATATATATATATATTTATATTTTATGGTCATCCATGCCTCATGCCTTTATGCCGTATCAGCTTGAGAGCCACTGTTGTAGAAGGACTGTGGCCCTCACCTGAACATGAATTCCTTTGTACTAAATTTTCTTAGAACAGCAGCAGTAATCATCTTCAATCTGTATCCATAATCCTTTCAATATTTAAAACCAGTACAGAGTACTGTAGTCATTTTTGAAAAAGCGAGAGCTCAAGTCTCCATAAAGCCTGACCAGGCAAGGCTTAAAGTGTCTCGAGGTGGGGCCCAATGTCAGAATCACTGCCACTTTGTTATTTTTTCTATTGCAAAACCAGGAGAAACCCAACCTTATTTTTAAACGCTGATCCCATCGCAGATTCATTCACCATGCTCATTCTGTGGTAAAGTGAGGTTGAGCTGCACATGTGGAAAACACTATTGTCATCATGATTTTTCACAATGCCCACTAGATGTCAGGCAACGGCAAACAACCAGAGTACAGTACTGTTAATGCAACTTAACTTCTCGCCAGAAGCATAACCATCTATATGAAAGAAATGTATTATTTTATTTCCAGATAAATATTTTCACATTTAATCAGCACCAATTAGTTTCTATGTAAACCAGCGCCAGGAGGCATAATATTGCTCTATTGCCACATCACAGATTCCCAGTTTGGCCCATTTTGTTTAATTTCCATACTTTGAACTGCACGTAATTTTTCTTTTCACGTAGCTCTAATGATTCTTGCAGATGGCGTATAAGTATGTTGAGTCTGCATCCTTATTATGTAATCAAGAGATCTGGGAGAAAATGGATGGAGGAATGAAGGAATGTTTCCCTCTCTAGACCTGATAAATAGCTTCTCTCATCCACATGCTGGACATATCTGGCATGAAATGCCACTCGTACACTGTGGACACTGCTGAGAGAACAGTTTTGGGGCACTGGTATCGGCACGGGGCAGTAATGATGACTTCATCTAGGGCACGTACTTGGGAGAGAGAGAGTGAGACTCGGCTGACGTTTGGATTCACAACGTGAGTTTTCCATTTATCTGCTCACCACCACTACCCAGACTTGGAAAGTTTTGCTGTCAAGATCCATCCTAATGAGTGTTTCCATTACTCTTTCGCCTGTGGTATGCTCTAGTCTGCAATTAATTTGCAATGAAAAGACAAAACTATCGTAGAAAGAGTGGCTGCAGAGCCAGTAAAAATGGAGTCATGCCCAATAAACATATCCATACCTAATATAAATTAACATTGCTCCTTATGAACCCTGCATTTGTCATGTTATGCGGTCTTTTGTCACATCAGAGGACAATCTGTGAAACCCACAAAAATGCCCAATTTCTTCTCATCTCCGATTGTTATATCATAATGAAAGAGGTTTGCACTGTATGACCTCACTTTAAATGTTTCCTTGTGGTGTGTGTCTGCATCTGTGTATCAGTCTGCCTATCCCCATATGTACTTGTCAGTTTGTGTACATTTCCATCCCATTTAACACTGATTACTGGAACAAAATACTGCTCACTTCTCCACTCTCAGAGTCGATGTCGAGGTTCACTTGCAGGCTGTTAGACAAGCATCTCTAGGGCCTCCAGCAGCACGGGCTTCTGTGTGGGATGCACACGTAGGTCCACGTCAGCTACTGCAATAGCAAGCAGCCATTCTTCTCTGGGCGGCTATTTGTCTGTTTGGCTCCAGCAGTCCTTCCCCAGATAGTTCCCTTTGCCAGATGACTGCCTGATAAGGGAAGACTAGGGCTCCAACCAAGAAGGAGGTGATGCCTGCGTGGCTTATCAAAACTCTGGCTTCTTCTGCACTTACCTAAAAAGAATTATTATGGGGGAGGGGATGGAAGTGGTTCATGCAGACAAGGCGTCAGAAAGACATCCAGCAGTTCATTATCAGGGAGAGACATTTTATGAAATCCAGGTTTGTTCTTCACTTTTCATCATTCAATAAAAGTCCAGGAAAACAGGAGGTATGCTGCTCTTAGACATACTGCCTGTCTTTTTTCTTTCCCTGGAAAGCGCCACGGCACATCTGTATCTGACATTAAACAGACTGGGTCACATGCTGCCAAAATGCACATTTAAGCCCTTGATTCACGATTGCGTGTGAAAAAAAAAGGTGAAAAGAAATAAGAAATGTAAATGTTATACTGTTTTTTGTTTTAATGTTGTCACATGTAACTTTCTGCACACATGAAATGCTCTAAATCAAGGAATCGTCAGTATCACAACTAAAAGAATACTTTTCTACAACTGATAGATTTAAATGGTTAATCTGCTAAAACGCAACACCATAGAAACTCCAGAGCGCCTTAATCTGGAGATCTCTTATTTTTTTAATAAAGAGATTGTATTTGCAGAGTGGAGTGATCACTTTGAGAAACTTGTGATAAGCCACGTTATTCTTCCTGGAACTGTCTGTGCGGTAATCAGCAGCCAAAGGTGCAAACAACCATGTCAGAGCTTTTCTGTTGTTTCTGGTCTTTCTCCAAAAGCAGCACAGCCACAGGCACTGAAAAGTGTGCGTGTGTATGTGTGCGCTTACGTGTCAGTCAACAGGTCAGTGTCTTTAGCAGGAAGATAGTTTACAAGCAAATGTTTTAGAGGGGATGAATATGTGGTTGGCTGTTTAGAAAGTAATCACATTCTCGCAGTGGCAGTAATGTCTTTGAGCTCTTGAAATTTTTACCTTTTTGTTCTGTTAATGGGGATTTCTGAGCAGCAAAAAAAATAATGTGCCGAAGTGCACCTAATGCTGAATCAAAAGGAAAGTGTGAAGGCACATCTCAGAGTTTGAATCTCAGCAGCTGCCTGTCCCCGCATATTTAAGTGGGTTCATATGAGATATTTGTATAACTTTCCATCACCATGTGCGCTGCCCAAAATGTCTCTGATGGTGCAGTAGTTTGCATGAGGAACATGGTAATATTCAGAAAGCATGACCGCTGCCAGGAACTTTCACACCTGCATCGAATTAGAACGCTAAACGCAGAGAGCAGTATTTAAATATTTAAATGCGAGCTTTTAACTCATTCACTGCCAATGGCTGGCAGTGAATGAGTTAAGAGAAGCAGATTAGGTGTTCCTGGTAGTGGCTGTACTTTCAGGATCTCTCCAGAGCTGTTCAGGGCTCTCTAGTTGGATCGATAAAAAATTGGAGCACAAAGGCAAGTTGTTTCTGAAGTTGGTCCAGTGGTGACGTCATTTCAATGTGACCACTGAAGTGTGAAGACAAAAAAAGCTGCAGCTTATTTTGTTTGCATTCTGTCCTCTTGCACTGAAGGTGAACTATGATTCAGTCTTTTGTGCCATTGTAATGTCAAGTATGAGTGGTCACGTAAGCTATGTGATAGATTAATGTCCCAGTAGTTGTCTTGACATTTCTCCCTCTCATCAACTCTGTATTTTTTATTAATCGAGCATTCATCTCCAGCCCAGAGTCTGACCTGAAACCCATCCATCTTAACTGCCTTTTATTTTTCTT